AAGAGCACTTTGAGAAACTCTTTAACCCGCGACAGTCGCAGGAAGACTCACTTGTACAGCAGCAGGAAACGGATATTACTATCTCTGTAGATGATATTTCTCAAGCTGTGTATATCTTGAAAATGGAAAGGCTGCTGGAATTGATGAAATCCACCTTGAAATGCTCAAGGCATGAGGTGAACAAGGCATTAGCTAGGTTACGCCTGTCTGTCAAACTGCAATGATCACGGGGAAGACAGAAGCGGACTGGAAAACGGGAGTTATTGTAGACGTATTCAAGAAGGGAGACCACAAGGAATGCTCCAATTATAGGGGCATAACGTTATTGAGCCTCCCAGGTGGAGTCTACGTAAAGATGCTAGAAAGGAACTGCCACGGAATAACTCACTCCAAGACACTAGAATGTAGTATAGAAGAGGAATGTGGCTTCCGGCCCGGTCGAAGCGCCTCTGAGCATATATTTACCCTGTGCCAGATGGTTGAGAAATCGTGTGAGTACGTCCGTCCAGTGTACATGTGTTTTTTTAATCTAGAAAAAGCCGATGAATGGAATCCTCGCGACAGTCTGTGATCATGTCTGCGAGCATACGGCACAAATGTCCAGCTGTTAGGGACCATCCAATCACTGTATTCTGAGAGTTGGTGCTGGGTCAGAGTAAATGGCGTTAAGATGAGATTTTTCAGCGTTATCATTGGTTTCTGCCTAGTCTGCGTTCTGTCCCTCTCCTGTTTGTGTTGTACATGGTCAGAACAGTGAAAAATGGCCAAGGCAATGAGTGCATCAATATAGCGTTCAGTCGAGAAAATTGCTGTTTTGTTGGCGTCTTCTGAACCTGATACACAGTGCTCCTTAGAAATATTCGCACCGAAACGTGACCGGCATGCGTGTAAACGCATCTAAAAGAAAAAGCCTAGTGCTTTTTTGTTCTGCTGCCCGTTGCTGTCTTGAGATAAAGGTGGAGTAGGTGGAGAAGTTGAAGTACCTCGGAGTCGTGTTCACTAACGATGGAAAATTTGAGAAAGACATGGACCGGCGAATTAAAGTAGCCAGTGGCCTGAACCATTGTGACTAAGGTAGAACTGACGCTGAAAACTAAGCTCTCGATCTTCATTCCCCTGTTTTCCTGGGTCATGATTCGTGGACCGTGACTGAAAAACTTCATTCTCCGAGTACAGTCAGCTGAAGCGGACTTTCTGACACGAATCTCTAGCCTTACGCATCTCGACATCAGCATTTGGACATAAATTCGCAAGAGCCTGTGCATAAAGCCGTTGCTTTTTCAAATTGAGAAGTCATGACTGCAAGGATTTGGCCACTTCTTGAGAATGGTTCCGGGAAGAAAGGCGAAACACGCCATGCTAGTCCAACTGACCGGCCGAAGACGAAGGTACCGGCAGGAATAAACTGGTGCAAGTGTGTGGAAGGACTATGTTCTAGACTAGAGTTATGCTGTGCCGACACCGAAACACTAGCTCATTGTCAATACGTTAGGATAGTCTCTCTGACCCGTCTGCTACTCTTACGTGAAAGAATAAATTGTCATTGAAATTGACTGAAGACCGACTGACTTATACCACGATTTATATATTTCAAGCCAGCTTCGATCGATATCATTCTATGTGTGATTGGTCTTTTACCCCGCAGAGGGCAATTTATGACCCTGATGTATAGTAATATGATAGAAAGAAATTTAAATCTCTCGACCGGCAGGGTGATCGCGAAGCCTGCGTATTACCAGCATTTAGGAAGGGCTTTGTAGGAAAAGTGCTCTGTTAAGGACCATTCGCTGTTTGATCGTAACTGGTTCCATGCACTCAAGCTACGAAATTAACTTCTTCTTTTATGAGTCTGAATCACGGCTTTCTATGTACTCATAGTGTCATTTAGTTATACCAAAATGATACTCATGTTATTCAAAGAATTTAAAAAGGACTTTGCTGACTAACACTACTTTACATACAGCAGAGCTTCCATTGATTGTAGGGCTTAAACACGGAAGACTGACTGATCTGATATAGTGTGTTGCATTGTACGCAGCTGCGCGTACTTGCAGTAATGGATGAAATTAATGAATGCAAGGCTTAGTCGCGTCTGCCCAATTCTCAATAAATAGCACCTTTATTTGCTTACCATACATACATGCAATAAATAATACGGTAAAGACATACATACAAGATACACATACATACATACATACATACATACATACATGCATGCATACATACATACATACATACATACATACAT